ATGTTTTCTGAACAACAGTCTTTCCCACAAAATATAAAAGAAACCCCATTAAACCATTTTGTAAATGATCAGTGTTTTGATGAATTTTGAGTAAACCTGATGCAACCTATTTTAAAGCGTCTCCATTAGCCAGGATAGTCTAATCTTCATTTCATTTCTTCACTACTGTTCCCCCTCTGGGAACAGGGACTATTCCCAGCATTAGTAAGAAACTCCAAAAAGAATCTAGCACATGGTACTAAGTTTTTGTAACATTAAATACATCTGTATGCATAACACATTTTCAAATTGATTTGAACCTAACAGTTAGAACATAATAGCTGGGTGTATCAAAAAAAAAAAATCCAAAAACAAACAAAAAACCCCAAACCCCAAACAGTGTACCCCACAAAATCCAGCAGCTAAATCAACATTACCTTTTCAGCATTCAGCCTCAAGATATTAAGATGAATGAAGAAACTGGTAAACCCAGAACTATTTTCTCATACTGTCTGTATACCCAGATATAATTCTTCACAACAGTTTGTCAAGCTGAAATTTTCAGTGTTTAGACACATCAGAATTAGAAATTTTTGAAGCATCTACAATGAAAAGACACTTGGAAGTACATACTACATATAGCATGACATTTTTATGGTATTCAGTAAGGTCTGGATGTTTTCCCCAAATTTATTTTCACACAGCCATGTAAGTATTAGTTTTAGAAAATAATCTAACCCTGAACTGGACTGGTAGTGATGCCTCTGAGATAACACTTTCGGAGATTCAAAGGGATAACTATCTGGATATTTGTGCTTTGAAATCATGTCCACCCGAACCACTTACACCTCTTGCTACAGGGTAAAAATAAATAAAGAGAGCAGAAGTAAAAAGGTTTACACCAAAATTGCTACATTACATGTGTTGTATCTAGCAGTTTGCTAATTTTTGAGAATACAGTTTGTGTAGACATGTTCAGATCACTATTTTAAAGGTAAAAGCCTAAGACATAAAAATTATCAGTAATTGGACATTCTAAAAACATGCTAAATAAAACAGGAATGCTGACAGGCAACATCTAAGATCAGCTCCATAAATATCAGCAATCATACCACACGGAAGACACTTCAGTCAGTATGTAACTATTTCTGAGATTACTGTCCTATGCAAAGACACAAAGTAACCAAAGCATGGCTACTGTGAAAAAAATAGCTAAGACCCAACAATATTTTTATAGTATAAATCAACACTCCTGTAATTATAGTGGAAAAACAAGAAGTTTGAAATTCTAGAAATGTTTATTTTACAGTGAACACTGAAAATGTTTAGCTGTTTCCAGTTACAAGCTGGCCAACAACTCAGAGCAAAATCAGTATTATTTATACACTTAGGCTGCCAGACAAACCTTTCTATAAAACTAATTGTCAGGAAAATTTTATTAGCTCCCTAACATCTCCTTCTGGTGGGCAGAAAGAATTAAACTTATGCAGCAGGTTAATCTTGATGTTACGTGGAGCTTTTTTTGTTGGCCTTATGAAAATCTGGATAAATTATGAACTATTGAGAACTTGCATTCTCCGTGCCTTTGTCCTCTACCATAATCTTTAGGGAATCTAGCAGCATTGCATGTATTCAACTTTGCGTACATACACGTTACATCATATAAGCCTTTCTCCTAGAGGAATAGAGAATCTCTTCTCTACAATGGCTGCTTTCCCATGAGAATACCCTCCAGCCTACAAAAATCTGCCTCAAAGCTGAGAAACAAGGGCTCTGTCCCATGCCAGCTGAAGCAGGACTACAAGTTTAACAGAGAAGTATAAAATCACAGTATTTATTATTTCTTTTTACCTCCAATGACTGTTGTCAGTTTTATTGCCTTTAATGTTGAGGAAGAATTTATTACTCAATCCTAACTCACACAAGATGGCTTAAACAACATTTCCAAGTGGCAAAGACAAGCTTCAACCACTGAACTGCAGTGGTCGTTGGAAGAAATCCATGTATTTTGCAATTCTAGATATATTTTTACAATACCCGACCTGTAAAATGGAATTATCCAAAAATATCCACAAGACCAGACTATTATGTAGCTTCCTCTAGTGGTCAGTCCCTAAATCTTGTTTCTTCTGCTATTTACTGTAGTTAATTGTTACATACAAATACTGAAATTCTGCGTTCAAATGCTGTAAACTTGGGAAGGCATTAGAGTTTATACTTCAGCTCTCTAATATAAAAGCCAAGGAAATTAAGCCAAAACTTATAGCAAAACATTTGTTATTGATATTAAAAGGCCAAGCAGTGAAGTCAGCAAAAAACAGAGTTAGTATGTAGTATTCTGATTTGCCCCCTTGTGAATATGCATTATAGTATATTTAGTTAAACGGTCAAACATGACTTTCCCACCACAAGACTCAGGAAGCAAGACAGATGTTCAGCTTTTAGTTGAGTCTTCAGATTATTTGCTATGAATCATCCAAACTTTGTTTTGACCCTGGAATTAGTGTGTGTGTGTGTGTTTTAATGAGGCTCATCACTGTACAATAGGTTTGCTTCTGCAATACTCCTTTGAGGGAAAGAGCAATTAAAAAGGCATAGCAAAGCATTCACCAAATTTGAAGGTCACTGAAATCAGATGACAATTTGATACACCCCTAAAATACCACAACAAAAATCAAGGCAGCTCTATGAGATGGGATGGGAAATTAATACAGTGAAATTTTATACTGAGCATCAGAAAGATTTCCTTACAGGTTGAAGTCATTAAGGAAGAAGATGGAAAACCGAAATGTAGAAAGTGACAACTGCCCATTACAAAACATATTATATTGAACAATCCAACTCTTAAAAAAAGTGCAATTATATAACATAACAGCCATCTCTGATTTCTGACTCAAAATTAAAATAAGGTAATTTAGAGTTAGTAATCTGCTCAGGTGATTTAACTCAAAATAATCACAAGGATTATGTTATCTAAATTGTACAGCTAGTAGAAAATCATATCACTCACGTGCAGTTGAAAATGCTTTAAAATCTGTGAACCAGTAACTTTGATTATAAGGTTATTCTGTGAAACAGCAGCAGTAACTTTCGTGTCTAGCTGAACACCTTCCATTGCCTTCTTGCACTAAAAACCATAACTTCCTGCATCTTGTTTTGCCTTTGCACTTCCCCACACTCTGGAATGAGAGAAATGTCCCCCAACCCTTTCCCCCCCCGCCTCTTTCCCTTAAAGCCTGTAAAATTCTATTCAGCTTTGACAAAGACATTAAGTCCCCAAAATTGACATCACCATTTATTCATTTATACATTGCCAGCAACAATGTGCACTGCCAGTGAAACAATGACTGATGAAACATATAACGAAGCAGAAACTTTTTAATCAAAGGTCAGGGACAAATTCTTTTCGAAACACTACTGCATATTCCCCTGGGAATCCTACAGGTAGCCCAACAAGACTAACCTCACCAACTCCCTTAAATGCTCATCCCTCCATTGCAGAAGCTCACATGGAGCTTCCACACACTTTAACAAAACAAAAACAAAAAAAAAAGAGAGCGCAAGAAGGGCATGACTGAAGTAACTAACAAAAACAAAACAAAACAAAAAAAAAAAAAGAGAGCACAAGAAGGGCATGACTGAAGTAACTAACGATTACATTTCTTTCCCTTTCCCTCTTTTCAGGATATTAGTCTCTGTGTTACCAGCTAATGCAGTTTGCCCTAGCGTTCAAGCTGTGATTTGCCCCCTTATGTCTAGTATTTAGCAACATGCTCACTGCGACTGCTTCAAAAGAGAGGCTCCTCAAACCATTCAGTGCAACACTTACTGTAAGGGTATCTCAGCAGTTAAATACCTGGCACTACAAATCCCTCTCCTGTCGGTATCTGCCTAACTTCATTCATTTTTACAGCTGGAATCAGCTGGAACGTGTCTGTTACTTGTCCTCAGGAGAGCACACAGCGAGGGATTTACAGCACAGTAACTAACCTCAGGTCTCGAGTTTGCTTATTCCCTGGCATACCATTACATCCTTGGGGAAAGATAACGCAGCTGACAAAAAATGTCACAGCCCCTCAAAATAAATAATATCTGTCCAATTTTGGGGTGTGCTGCCAACTCTGTTTATGTTCCTGGCTTTCTCTCAGCACATTTCTAAAGCTGTGGACTTTGTTAGAAGAATAAGGAGAGAAAGATTCAGTCAGATATCTTCTCAGAAAAAGGTCTGTGCCTGTTCCTCATCACTCTGTAATAGCATTTTGGCATTACAGCAACTGAATATGCAGTGGTGTTTGGGTAGCAACGTAAGAGCCTAATAAATAAAACATGAAAGCTGAAGTAGAGAAAATTCAATAAAATTTCATGCATGCTCTTCATTTTTCATGCTAAAGATCAGAATATTAAGTACATTTCACTGCCCAATTCTGTATTAAGTATTAGAGTCACTCATCATTCCTTCTATTCCATTAGAATTAGAAATTCCAACCAAAACCCAGCATGTCAGAGACAGTACAAACAGTAAGTCAACAGTGTAATACCATACTTACGTATAAGTGACAATTAAGTGTCTCTAATGAAATGCTTATGTTCTAAATAGACAAGACAAAGTAAGTAGAAAGATACCTGTTTTGCCAGCATGGAATTGAAGGCAAATGGGAGCCAGAGACGACTATTCCTACTCACATTCTAGGGTTCAGCACACTAAGAAGTTATAGAATTAATATGGTTCTAGAAAGAATGGTCCCGATATTAATTCTAACGCATCAGAGTATTTCCATTTTAGGATTGTTTGTTAACTGCTCAGTTGCTGGTAGAGTAAATGTCAATAACACACACACACCCCTCCCTTATATAATACAACGGAACATGAAAAGAAATGGTTAGTGTACCTGTATTGTATTGCTTACAGCTTTAAAAAGAAAAGCAGCTGTTCTTCGGCTTACCTCTGCATACCAGATTTTAAGCTAAAGAAGTGCAGACCTTTTTGTACAGAAGTTCACTTTAAACAATATACAACTTACGCATTTCTTCAATGACGTCTGGATCACATTCTCTGTATTTGTCTACTTCTGCCTTTAGCTGCTCTTTTTTCTGCCGAAGGGCAGCAAGTTCCTCTATTAGAGCTGCACGTTCTGCCTGAGGATTCAAAGTATGTTGGGAGATATAAAAAAATACAAAAATAAAAATCAGTAATTATTGCACAGAATGTTTTTCAAAAAATAAAAAGACGTAAATTTAAAAGCTGTTTTCACTACTGCTTTCTGTCAATGAACCAGTTGAGCATTTTATGCACACACAAAACTCTGTGACACTAAACGATATTGAGTACAAACTGGAAGGAAAAAAAAAATTAAGGCCAAAATGGATAAACAAAAGAACAATTTTCTACAACCTTTGAACTCGACATGGTTTGACAAACTCCAAACAGATCTCTTAATTGTTGGGCTTAAAGGTTAAACGATATTTAGGAGTGCTAGTCTTGTACTTAAAGACAGCATTACAGAAAAACCTACCATTCACACTTCCACAAACTGGGATGCTGTGTATGAACACCCTCTAAATTTATTTTTCTCCTCCTTTTTTCCACACCATTTAAGAGCAGTGGTCTCAAAAATAAATTCAGATATTTAAGACATGGTAGTCTTTGCTGGGAGACTATACAATATTGACCTCAAATATTCTGTTGATCAATAAGAATCTGCAGACACTGACTCAACGTGAGCTCTCCCATAGCCAGCTCAGCACATACTTCTAATTCAGTGTGTAATTACAGCCAAACACTGTAACTGGCTGATATTCAGAACTCATGCTAGGGCACTGGGTAGCCTAAAAAAGCCAGATAGCATGAGTTTGTAACCCATCAGGTTTTTAGCCAATGGCAATCTCCGTGGCAGCCCAGCAGTCTTAGGTGTGTGTTTGTGTTTTTTCCCCAAACTTCCATATTCCCAGTGCTTTTGCCAACAGTCTGGATTCAGCATGTTCTGAAAATGCAGATTGAAAATCAAAAGCTTCCAGATGCTGAGGTATGGAGGCCAGCTGCTCAGAGACCTACATCACGATCTAGATTTCTCAGGACTTTTTCCTGATATATAATCCGGAACCAAAATGTTGGAAGCATCAGCCAGAACAGGATTTCCAGGACCAATAGCTTCTTGTGACAAGGGCAGGCCACATGGTGGAGAAGCCCAATTCTCGAACTGTCCATGTGGAAACCTGACAAGCACAACTGTGTGAGAAACCTGCCTGTGATTCCCCGATTACAGTCAAACCCAGAGCCTTTCTATAAAACATTTTAGATTCTAAGATTTGGCACTTTCCTACAAAATTCAATTCCACCTGCAAGCTTCTGGTCGTCCCTGTTTATGCATTTATTTATTGGAGGTTTAAACCACTTTAGACTGAGCATCTCAAAACAAATCAGCAGCTTCGAATACCATATGAAGTATTTCTAACTAATATGCTACTTCATATGTAAGGTAAATATGAAGCCTAAATATTATTTTGCAGTGTTAACAGCTTCAGCATGCAAAGAGCACCATGCTTACACATAGCTGCTCAGAACAGTAATTTAGAAATCTAGATTATAAATAAGATTAAAAAAAATAAGACCCCAGACACCTAAGTTCGCAGTTACTAGATGTGGCAGTTCAGCAACCATTGGCAACTTTGGTACATACCTCTGGGTAGTTCAAGTTTTAAGATATCTTTAAATCTGAAAAAGCCTGGAAGATTACCAGACTTCAGCAGCCAAACATTTTTTCAGCCTTGGAGCAACCAGTTGTCAATATTTTACTCATTAGTGCATGACCAACTAAGAAATAATCTAATATCTGATTTTTTTTCTGTCCCTTTCTCATCTCCAGTATTTGAATTCTTAATGGATTTCCAATGACTACATTAGTATTTACAAACCGTGCATACTTGTGGCCCTATTTCCTGGTAGGAATGCCTCCCCCCCAAGCAACTTACAGTATCTTCACGTCCAATTTTTGATTTCTTGATGCTTTTTTGTAAAACCTCTTTTTTCTGACTGCTTTCAGCAAACTGATGAAGGAAACAAAGAACAAAATCAACCTATTTCAGTAACATATATTAAACATACTATAAAATGTATATACATAGACATATATTTAAATAAACAGGTGGATATACACTTTTAAGTATATAAATTGATATATATTTATAACTTGTGTAATAAAAATAAACACAAAATAAATACAAAAGCACCCAAATATAAGTCTGAGGCTCTCAATCACAGAAAAGAATTACAGGAAGCAACTTTAAGCCTAAGAAATTTTCACTCCTGTAGCACATAATCATGTTATGTACTGCATGTTCAGCATGGGACCAAAATCCTATTTCATACCATAATCTGGCATCTCTATGCAAAGGACTCCATGACATGGAGGCTTTGGATTAGATGATTTCCTTTGGTCCTTTTCCAGGTCTCCTTATTCAATGGAAGCAGTGACAAAAGCTGTAGCAGATCCACCTGCTCAGCTGCTGATACCAGTCTTCCCAAAGTCTGGTATGCCATTGGCATGGCCCCAATCCCTTTTGCATACTGGTGAATAGAAGCTCTATAGCTCAAAGGCACGTAAAGCCATAGCCCCCTTTTTCTGTGCTGCACTCACACTGATAGACTTCAGAGTCCCCTTCCTTCAGGCCTGAGGCAGAGGAATCTCACAGAAGTCACATCTCACAGGGCTGGTGTGAATACTCTCTCAATTTTCCTGTTACTCCAGGAGGAATCATTTGTAAAGAGAGCACTCTCTCCATTAACCTGCCACCCATCTTGAACCAGGCCCTTCCAGTTTAGTTGGAAGTTTTCCAGAGACACTTTGGAAACTTTTAGCTGAGCAGGATGCATGACTTGCCCCTCGGGGACACAATACTCAGCATTAGCCAAAGCACCTTAAATGAGATGAATGAGAATGCAAAAAAAAATTTCTAATAAAATATAGTTTGGAAACTAGTTGCTGCATTTGAAAAGGAAAAAAAAAGAAACAATAGTATGCTTTGTAAGTACTCGCTCTTTGGTTTAGCTTTAAGATGTTCTGAGCACCAATCAGGTAGAAAACTAGTATATCAGACTAATCGTGAAGACAAAGGTGGCTGTCAGAGCCCATGTTTCATTCTGCCTTCCCCCAAAAACCCTCATGTGAAGCCTCTACTTCCACATTCCCTTTCTCACTGATGATCCCACTGAATGGAAAAGCATTCCTAGATATTTCTTGCAATCCCTAGCCTTAATAATTTAACCATATCATTTATATTTTTGTGCAGCTGAAACACCAAGACCACATTCATACAATGCAAACAGAACTGTTTTGGAGCTATAATCACTTCTCAATTTCTATTTAAACTCATGTTCAGTCTGTATTTTCAGAAATACGTATTAAATGTAAATGCATAATAAATATCAGGCAGAGCTTACTGCCAAGTCTTAGAGATCAGCCATAACAGTAAAAAGAAACTCCATATTAATGGTCCATATAGATTAGGACACAGCCCAACTGCAGCTCACTGCGTTTAGGGGTTCCTTTTATAGCTCAATTTTTAAAAATTAATTACTCTTTCTGGATAAGCATGTGTTCATGCATGTGTGAGCATACATATAGACAAGAAGGTCTCCTTTTAAAAACAATGTTTTAGTTTTTCTTCAGTTTATATAGAAATTACACTAATGGTAAGGCATATATAATTTGGGGAAAAATACGTCCAGCTGTTTACGCATTGCTTTTAGTGCAAGTAACCACAGAGGCAGTGTGGGTTTCAGTATGTGGCTTGAAGTACACCAGCATTTTGATTTTGGTGGATAGTTAAACAGTACTTTTTCTGGGCTTTCCACAAAATTCTTGAAAAATTAAGTGTGTTAGCCCCCACATTATGCCGTACTAAACAGAAGTATACAGTTCAGAAGAGGACAAGTACTTAGGTGCAGTTTGCAGTTCATGAAGCCCAGGGAAGACAAACACCAGGGCACACATCATTCAGCATACCTAACAAAGATTTTTTTTTCTGGAACAAAACTCACAGAGGAAGCAAAGAAGCCAAGGAGCTTATCTAGGCCCACATACCACAAGCGCAAAGAATAAGCCTATGGCCTCTCCTGCAGAAAGCATTAAGGTGTTGCTTTCTCTGTTTTTTCATATTCATGAAGTTCTTTAGGAATGCTTCTGCATTCTCTAAAATGGAAGCACAGAAGGAGCTCTCAGGAAACTGCAATAAAATCATAAAAGCTGGTTTCCAGCTTGGAAGCATGTTTCCCAGTATGGCATCTTACTATTTTCTTGGCTCTCTATATTCCACAGCATTTAATCATGAAAGAGACAGTAATGACAAACACGGAGAACTACAGAAATTTCTTAGATTCTGACCTACATAACATGAAAGGTTGCCATGCCACAAGGTTAAAAGATTAGATGATCTTCCTCTGTCTAAAAGCAATGATGATTTTTATACAATTTTATTCAAGATTTTGCTTCCTTCTCTCACAGATTTTAATTTCTTGGTTTTTTAATTCCGTCTTCACAATCAAGAATTTACAAAATAAAATGAAACCACAGCTCTTTGTGTATTATTTAGAAGTCACAGTGGGTATTCCCATGACAACAAATAAAAGATGAGGATAAGGAAAGGAACAGCAGAAGGAAGCGAGATATTGGGAAAAAACAAACATAGGACAAGGATGCAAAGGGCAAGGAACAGATGGCCAGGGTCTGTGCAAGGAATCTATGACGATGGGAGAAGCGGGAAGGCTTGGATACAGAGGTGGGAACACAGCTGCAAATAACTGAACATGAAAGAAGGAAAGACAGTCAAGCAAGGATAAAGGAGTCGGAGAAGGGATGAATACAGATGATCCAATACTTAATTGAGAGGTAAGGGCAAATGGCAGATGACAGGTTATAGGGCATTAGAAGAAAAAAAAAAGCAGAATTTGCAAGTGTTGTGTATGTATGACAGCACAGGATCACATCTGGCCAAATACAGTGACTTACTTTCCCACTCCCCAGCCATAGAATAGCCTGATTGCAAAGAAGCACAGTAGCAGATGGAAGATTTCAATCCTTGGAGCAATCTTGGTACATTTTTCAAGGGAATTGGCAAATAATTTCTCAAGGAACATTAACCACTCTGAGAGAAATCTGACTCCTGTCAATAGCAGCGAGATTGATCTGGAGAAAAAGCTGCTTACTGTCTCCACTCTATGTTTCTTAAGAGAGATGTCAGGGCTGACATATGAACAACCTTCTGACACAAGTGTAACTGACCAGGTGTGGAAAACAAGTACAGAAAGAGATATTCTACTATACTAGAAAGTTTCGTGTCTCCAGTCTGTCTGACTGCCTCGAATCAGGACAAGATTAAGCAAGATGCAAGAAAGCTGGAAATATGTCATCTAGGGGAAAGCTGTTCAAAGAAGGAGGGGAGACTAAATAATTAAAAGTTCAAAAGTAAAAAAAAATTCTCTCCAAGAGCATTTTCAGTGTTTGCAACACATGGTGGGAGCCTAGAAGACAACAGATTAATGAAGTAACTAACTAGCATCTATAAAACAGAAGAGTTGGGAAACAGTTCCTTTAATTTTACAGACCACTGCGGTCAATTAACTGACCACTGGCCTAGCTTCAACACTAATTCAATCCAAAGTCCCCCAAAGGGATGTTCCTTCTTACTTTGCAAAGGTCTCACAATGTTTAGCTATACATATGTGCAGCGGTTTGCACGTGCCAAGTGCTACGTGCTGATGATAACCATCAGTTCCATCACAGGCCTTGGGGTCTGGTTTCTATCAAGGGATACAGATTAGATGTACACAGGTAATTTATAATACACTATGCACGCATTATTACTAGGGTTCCAGTTTTGCAAGTCGGTGATGTACATTTGGAAGAGGAACGTTTAACCCTGACACATAACAGCAGCAGGTTTCAGTTCTCTTCCTTCTCAAAACCTGCCTGATGCTGTCCTAGCTCTACATGACTGGATTTTTATTCTCCAGCAAAAGTTTTGGTTGGTCATATTCCTTCTGGTTCCTCGTTCTTAACCACTCCAACCACCAATATCCCACCAAACATGTAGCTTGTCTCCCTAGCATATTAAAATATCTACAAACCTGGTGTAAGCCATGCAAACACAGACCCGAGTATGTACACTGGACAAGAACCAAGCCAAGGTTTCATATGCTAACCACCAAGAGTATTCACAGCTGTTATCCCACTGTCATTATGGTCTTAAAGAGAAATATCATACGCTCAGTTTCTTTCAGCCAAAACACTCAACCAAAAATGGTATTCAAAACTACTGCTATTGTGAGCACCACTCACTGTGGCACTACAGAAGAATTCAAGACATCCATTTTTTAATTGTTTGTAACTTTGCAATGTTACTTACTTTGGGTTCAAAGCTCACTATGCTTTGTTTCAGGCCAGAGGCAAAGGGTTTGTTTGCTTTTAGCTTAAACAAAAACAGTTCAAGGAGTTTTAGGGTGACATTTGCAGTAGATGGGTGTATTTCTTTCCTATGTTAAACCTAACCCACCACTGAAAAACTTAAATGGAATTGACAGAGGGCATGGAGAGAAAGTACTTCAAAGCATTCCTCTAGATTTTAAAGAAACATAAAAAAATTTGAAGCCAGAAAGTAGACTAAGAGAGTAAAAATGCAGAGATTAACAGCCAAAGAACAATCTGAAAATATTGAAAACAGACCTGTTGTGTTAAAAGAAAGGCATAGAACATTACTAAAAGAAACCGCTCAGCAATCACTGTTGACCAAAACAATAAAACTTAAAAGAGGGGGAGGAAGGCACATTGATGTGCAGAATTGCTTTCTAAAGTACTACACAAAGTAAGCATACAACTACTTCTTTTACATATACAGTCACAAATACATACTTGCCAGGGCCTCCAAATACACAGAAGTAAACTTCTAAGTTAGCTAATTATGCTCCTAGCTGAGTAGAGTGCCATGAACTGCAGTATTGTCACTTCTGTTCTGCTCTCAGGATGCCTGCGTACCACTCGTGAAATGCCATT